GCTGCTCCAGGAAGCAGTGTAGTGTCACTTATTAGTTGTCCCCAGGATGTTCTGCAATAGCATAAGGGCCCTGCAAGCAGCAGGAGGGAGATGTGGCATGAATTAGCACAGGCAGTGGCTGTGGAGATGATGTGGAGAGGGGACATTTGGCTGAGATGTCAGCACTGGTGTCCCCAGCAAACAAGGTGGAAAAAGACGCAAGCAGGGGCTGCCAGATTCAACAGGAAAAGACTTGCACACTTAAAAAAGAGGTTTTCAGCCCAATATCCTTCACCTGACCCCTTCTTCCTTCTTGCCTCCCCCTGCAGGCACCTGCCTATACCTTTCTCCTTCTTGTAGAATCATTAAGGTTGGAACAGACCTCTAAGATTGAAGTTCAACTGCTGAAGTTCAACACCAACCTATCCCCACCATGCCCACTGACCACATCCCTCAGTGCCATATCTCCGCTGTTCTTGAACACCTTCAGGGATGGTGACTCCATCACTCCCCTGTGCAGCCTGTGCCACTGCATCACCACTCTGTCTGAGAAGAAATTCTTCTTAATATCCAATGTGAACCTCTGCTGGTACAACTTGAGGCCATCACCTCTCATCCTATTGCCGTCACCTGGGAGAAGAGGCCAACCCCCATCCCACCACAACCTCCTTTCAGGGAGTTGTAGAGAGTCATAATGTCTCTCATGAGCTTTCTCCAGTCTGAACAACCCCAGTTCCCTCAGCTGCTTCCTGTAAGACCCTTCTCAGCTCCATTTCCCTTCTCTGGACAAGATCCAGGTCCTCAATGTCTTTCTTGTGGTGAAAAAAACATTGCTCCCCTGTCAGTGTTGCTCCCCCTGCTGACCCTGTGCCCCACTTTGCTTTGTGGCACCCCTTGGTACTGGTGCTGCCTCTGTCCCACAGTGTGAGCAGGAAGAGGAGCAGAGCTGGGGATGCAGGGGTTAATCCCATCCAGCACAGTGCTGGGGCCAAGTTTGTAAGTGACTCTTTGCTATTTCGAAAAGAAGCTGCCTGGAAAGGGAAAGGAAAGGGAAAAAAAGAGAGAGAGAGAGGTTTACTTTACAGCCATCGTTATTTCATCTGCACAGTTTATACAATGGAAAATAAAAGCCAGGGAACGCTAAGTCAAATCATTTCTGTTTCACTAATGGTATGGAAATGGTTTTGTTTTTATAGGGGAAAAACAAATGTGAACTTGATGTGTGTGTGTGCGAGTGCTCATGCAGCTCCCCTCATTGCAAAGGGCAGAGCAGCGAAATCCAGAAATAAAAAATGACTCAGAGGCTGTAGGATCTATGAGTCAGTGGAGCTGTTGTTGTTTTTAAACACGAGTGAGAGCACAATATGGGCGACAATCACCCGCACAGCCCTCCCAGCCCCAGCAGAGGGGTGGAAAGCAGGATCTGGGGCAGGGAGCTCGAGTTCTCCTGGAGGAGACTTCTTGCCCGATTTCAGTGCCTCAAGCATGGCCAAGGTGGATGTGGTGGTGGCCAGAGGATGGAGGATGCCAGCACTTCTGAGAGCAGATGGAGAACCACTTGCTCCGTCCTCACCCATAGGCAAAGACATAGAATCACCACAGAAACAGGATTGGTTTGTGTTGGAAGGGACCTGTAAGATTACCTAGTTCCAACCTCTCTGCTATAGGTAGGGACACCTTCCTCTAGACCAGGTTGCACAAAGCATCTGCTGACTGAAATCAAACAGAAACCATCCCTGGGTGTTTTCAAGAAGCTAAACATGGCATTGAGGGACATGGTTAGTGGGGGATGGTGGATATGGGCTGATGGTTGGACAACATTACTGATGCTATGAAACCTCCCTGGCCACGTCCTCACCATGAAACATCCCCAAGTCCCAGAGCAGCACGAGATCACTTGCAGGAGGTACACCAGGAACATTGGAGATACCAAAGCAGAAGGACAGACAGCGTTTGGCTGACCTTGTCTCCCCAGAGTGAAGTTAGATCATGATGCCATTCAGGCATCTGAAAAAGATCTGAGAAGTCTTCTTGTACAATCCATACCCAACTCACTTTGTAATAGCACTGTGCATTATTTGCTAAACACTTCATACAAAGGCTTATTTTCATGAAGAAAAAGTAAGCGGTAGAGTAAGTTGGTTTCCAGCCTGTTTGAAGAAGGTCCAAACACACCAGAAACGTATACTGCACGTCTTTTTTGGCACTGGGAAGCACTGATGTCTAATGCAATCAAAGTCAACCCCTTTCTATTCACCAGGAAACATTACTGGCTCACTCCTCACTCCACACGCTCGCTGCCAAGTCCAGTATTTGTTACATGGGATGATGCAGGACCAGAGGGCAGAGCTGCTCCCTTGAACCCGATGCCGTGTGCGCATTGCCACTGTCCATGGAGAAGCCTCACAGGGGCAAGAATTGGGATATTGGGTCTGCTAGCTCCACTTAGTCTCCCAAAGCAGGAAATCCAGGGCCATGCTAGGCAGCTCATGCCAGACTGCCAGAAGGTTGCACAGCCCTGTGCGTCTTCCCCTGGAAACTGGGGATGTAAGAATTGCCCTGCTGCATTCTGCCCATGACAGCTCAGGAGTGATGGGGACAAGACCTCACGCGGGACAGCGAGTGAGCAGAAACAAGTGTTGTAAATAACAGGGAAGGAATTTGTTTGTTCTCATAACAATTTTATGAGTGGCTCTGTTAATGCAGAGCCATGTCATTGGCCATGGACCACAGCCCAGTGCAAAGCCTGCTCCTGAGCTGGGAGCGAAGAGAGGGCTCGTGGCTGAGCCCAGCACTCTATGCTGTGCCCACACCTCAATTTAGCACCCAGTGACTTGCCACAGGTCCCTGCTGCACCTCAACCTCATCCTTAAATCCAATTTAAGGACAAGATGGAGCATAACCTGTAGCTTACATGCAGGTCACCTGAGCAGGTCCTCTTCCGGTGCCTTTCAGGATGCAGGAGGCAGCCCTAGCACCTCACATCAAGTGCCTTTGCTGAAGTCCATTTGGTGTTGGGTTGTCACCAAAGAGAACAGCAGAGAGGACTTGAGAACCAAAGCTTTTCATCCAGCCCTGCAGCAGGGCAAATTGCCTGCGTGTACCACTGCTTTGGCTACAAAGTGATTCCTCTGCCCTCATAATGAACACACTGAGCTTCCACCTCCTTGCACTCAGGCTTGCTTCTTGCTCATTCACCCTGCTTGGGGTCAGCGCAGGTGGTGGTATCAGCCTGCTGCTGCCACAGGGGAGGCACTTCTGGCATAGTTTTCCCTTCCTCCTTCTACTTAAAAATTGCTTAGTATTCTCCCCATAGCATCTCTGAGGTCCTAGTTATAGATACCAGAACACTCGATCCCATTCTCATCTGCAGGAGAACAAGCCTTCCTATTGATAGGGAGCCAAGCTCCCTGGGAGCCCACCTCATCGGTGACTTCAAACCCCTTTTCCCAACTGTCTTTCCACAGTAACTTTGACTAACTGTACTATTTATTGGCTCACATCACATCCTTATGGCTTCAATTTATTTTTTGAAAACGCAACCCACATTTAATTAGTTTATAGTTTGTTCCAAGTTTTGCTTATCCAGCTTTTTTTTTTTTTTTTTTTTTTTTTTTTTTTTTTTTTTTTTTTAAGTTTGTATTTTGATGTTTAGCATTTGCCTTAGCAACATCTGGAACCCCTTTATGGAAGCGTATTGTTACTTTTACTGCTCGTGCAGCTTTATTAAATCATCCGCGTATTAATATTGAAAGTGTTCATCTGGGTCTCATCATGGCCAAGACAAGTGATGTGGCAGCTCAGTTGTACCTACGAGCTCATGCTTCAAGGACACAATGTTCTGGAGAAACTCGCAGTGGGCTTTGTGTTCTTCGTTTGAGTTTTAGTGGGAGAATTAGGAGGGGGAAAAAAGAGATGTATTCCTGCTCTGACCTTTCTTGCAGATAACAGCATAGAGGGCTGAGCTAGTTTAGAACAATTTGTCTCCAAAGAGTTTTGTCTGGTTACTGCTGTATTTCTGGCTCTCATTTCCATATTTAACTCTTTCATCCTCCCTGGCTGCCTTGCTCTGCAGTGTAGCTGACTCTAAGCCTGGCACTGTGCTCCCGTGGGGCGTCAATAAGTAAATATCAGCCCTGTGGGAATGAGTAAATAAAGAGCAAACCCCCAATGGGTGTTGAGCAATGAGGGTGGTGCAGGCACAAGAGGAGAACACTGACCAGCAGGCACAGATGTAGCAATGGCCGTCCTTGCTGTCCCACCAACAGACCTTTGTGCCTCAGCAGCCCGAAATAAACCTTGTTAACAATGGCAGCACGGAGCAGCCCGGTTGTGTTGGGATCCCAAAATGAAAGGAACCCAGGGAAGAGCAGGAGCACTGAGCTCTGTCTCCACGTGCCACAAAACTTGTATTTCTCAATGCATCCATTCAGCAAATACCTTTTTTTTCCCCTGGGTACTTTACCAAAGGTTGTAAGGGAGCAGCTTAAAGGTGGGCAGACTTCCTACAGGAATGACTGCTTTTCTGCCCTGTTTGGAGTTAAAATCTCCCACACAATCCTTCTCTACCTGCAATGAAAGTTCACTGTAAGATGTACAGATGGTCCATACCTCTGCAAAGTAGCTGCTGTAATTCAGGTTCCCATCTGAGTGCTGCTGAGTCTACTTATCAAGTACATGCTAGCATGTATTTATACATAAGCCTTTCAGTGGCTTCATAAAAAAAAAAAAAAGTCAAAGGAAAAAGAAAAATACATCTAGCAGCCTTAAAACAGGAAGTTTAAATTTAGCTGGGATTTATTCCTTAACCAAGAACAGTTCCTTTAAAAATAGAGATAACTTGCTCCTGTCTGGAGGAAGCTGCCTCCACGGGGCCAGTGCAATCGCATCAGCTCATTGCTTTGCCATCCTCTAAAACACATTGGACTGAGCAATGGGGTAGAACAAATGCATGCAGAAGGAGAGTCACTTTGGGCTAAAACTTGCTGAAAGTGGCCAACTGCTGTCCCCTGTGCCCACAGCCTGCTGTGCCGGTGCACGCCGCAGCCTGAAGACCAACCTGTGCAAGTGGTGTGACTCCACGCCGCCAGCCTGTGAGCGGGAGGTGTGCTACAGCAACTGCAACCTCAACTCCTACTGCGAGGACCCCTTTGAGATCTGCGTGGCCATATGGTGAGCTGGGGACATGGGAAAAAGGGTTGGTTGGTGGGAATGTGCTCATGGGGACCCCATGCCATCGACATCACTAAGGGCTTTCTCTTCCTCCCCCATTGCCTCCATTGTAATCATAACTGAGATGCAACTGGGTCTTAACTATAATTAGGAGTGGTTTATTTTCTAAATAATTTATGCGCATATGTGCCCCACACAGCATCGCAAGCATGTTATGTTTCCTCTGTACCCACATAAACCTGAATTTAGCTTTGCAAGCTGAGCCTGCTGCACAAAGCCAGCAGACGTGATGCCCAAAGCTGTGATTTCCTCCTGCATCAGGATGGGAAAAGCCTGCTCCAGGTGCAGGGATGCAGAGGGAGAGTTGCTGCCCCAGAGGTCTGTCCCCACCTGGGGCACAGACATCTACACCCGTACTAGGCCACTGGCAACATCCCCAGGGAAAAGCCCTATTGGCTTTTGCTGGAAATGCCTGGAAAGGAAATGTGTTCTGGCATTTCAAGCATACACCAGGATGAGTGAGCACCTCCTCCAACTTTCTGGCCTCCCATGAGCAAAACTAAAGTGCATTTTGGGTCTACCCAAAGTGATTTTCTCCTCTGTCCCTTCTAATTCGGCTGCCAGAGTGAAATCCAGGAAGCACATATTGCTAGGCTTTATCTCAACCTGCTAATTAGTGTGAACACTGGATTGCCTGGCTTTCAGTAGACTTTTACCTCAATGTAATTACTGCATTATGGACTGGAAAAAAATAACAAAAGCAGAAGACCAACAAGAAACCCAAACAAATAAACAAGGTTGCCTCTGACCCAAATTTCCCTGAGCACAGATATGGAGAAAACCTTAAAGAAGTCCCATGAAGACCCAAAAGGACATGGGGAGAACAAAGGACAGGGATGTTTCACCCAGTCCAGCAGAAGAAGGGTGACAAATGTGGGTTATTTCCCCCAGTTCTATTTCCAACATCCCAGCTGACTCAGAAAGAATTGTGAAATCTCTCCATACCTCCATCTTCCTCCAGAAACAAGGGTCTACAATGGCACTCTGTCTCAGCAGCTGTTCCTTTGCTCCTCATTAGCTCTTAATTACTCACTGGCTCTAGAGAAGATAAGCTGATCCACCTTAAGTGAAGGTCTTCTGAGCGCTGAACTGCTGCCTCTCATGCCATGTGAATCACCCCAATCAGCTCTGCTCCAGCTCTTCCCAGCAGCTTGTCCCACCTCCAAGCTCTAGCAGCTACCACCACCTGCTCTGGAAGGAATATACCCCAGTTCGTGTCCAGCCATTCCTAAATGGATATCTTGATCTCGAAGGTTTTTTCCAACCTAAATGATTCTATAAATCATCCAGGCACCCACATTACTGAGGAGCTTTGCCATTTGCTCCCCAGGCTTCTCCTTCACCTATCTTGGTAAGTGCAAGGCCATCTCCCACCCCACAGTCTTGCCTCTATAATTACTTTCCTCCAACTATTAGTCCAGTTAGTGACGGGAGAGAGCAAGCCCCAACAGGGGAACATTTATCTCCCTGCATTATCTTACTTGTCTCAAAATTAACTCCTTTCAGAAGGACCATACCCCATGGTATAAAGTAAAATCTGTCTACCAACAGGACTAGCCATAAGGCAAGCAATGCATTTTAATGTGCTCTTTCTCTGCCCAGCTGGTTCTTATCTCAATCACATCGTGTTCATGCTGCAATTGGCAGTGGATGCTGGTGGTGCTCAATGAGCTTCACCTGGGGGTTTGGAGGCAGATCTGTTTCACCATGTTCCAGCACAGCTTATAAACACAGCTATGGCCTCACCGTTGTCCAGGAGCTGTATCAAACTCACGTTACTATTTTGAAGTGCCAAATATCAGAATGTCCCTGGAGGTGTTCAAGGCCAGGTTGGATGGGGCCCTGGGCAGGCTGGTCTAGTATTGAATGTGGAAGTTGGTGGCCCTGCCTGTAGTGAGGGGTTGGAGATTCATGATCCTTGAGGTTCCTTCCAACCTGGGCCATTCTGTGATTCTGTGAAATAGTCCCCGGTGACTGGTGACCCAAGGACTCTTTTCCCTCAGGTGGGCACAAGCAGTCATGCAAAGATGTTGTGTAAGCACCAGCAATTAGCCCAGGGCAAAAGATGGGGCCAAGCAGCTCTGCCAACACATGTGCTGAGAGGAGAAGGATGGAGGAATGGTGCCTCTGGCACTGGGAAAGGAAGAATTTTACTCAAACCCTGCTCTCAGCCTCAGGGCTGGCCCTACCTGACCCAACAAACTTGTGAATTATCTGTGGAAAACAACAGAGTGCCTGGCTCAAGTCCCACTATTGGCGTGCTCTAGAAATTTCTCTTTCGCCATCTGGAACAGAGAAGAGGATTAAATAAATCCTCTCAAAAGTATATATAATGAGAATTACATTAGAGCCACCACTAACACGTCCTCTCATATACAGCACAGAACTGATGATCAGCAGAAGGCTCAGACGACATGCAGGTGACAATGGCCTGTGGTTGTGGGTGGCTGTGCGTGGCTGTGCCACTAACCTAATGCTTTGTTGGTTCATTTGGCCCCTGTAGGAGACAGGACAATGACAGCATCAGGATCAGCACACTCTGCCACAACCCCCACCGCCCCATAGAGAACCTCATGGTCCCCAACTACAACACCTCGCGCTGCATCATGACCCACCAGCCCAGCGAGGATGGCATCATCTACATCTGCGGCTGTGTGGATGAGCAGGAGTGCAACGATAAGCTTATCTTTGAAAATCATACTAATGGTGAGTACCTCTGCTGATGTTATTTGAAGTGAGAAGGAGCACTCAATGCTAATGACAAACAAGTTGCATGCTGGGAGCCATGCAATTTCACATTTCCAAGAAAATGGGCACACATGCAATGTCTGTTTTGACCTCCTGTATGAGGTAGGTAACATTTGTACCCCATTACTGCTGCCCTGAGCCCAATAGTTTTCCAGTGGCTCACCCTTCCCTACCAGAAATGCCTCCTGAGAACATCAGGAGATGGAAAATCCACCGTGTCCTGCAAAGGGCTGCACCCTTTGGCATGGAGTGAATCAACAAGGCACCCAAAAGCTGAGGTAACCCTGAACAAGCCTATGCTCTGAGGGCTTTAAAAAAAATATCACACCATACATCCCACACCAGCAGACCAGGGGAACACCTGGTGCCCACAAGGACTGGCACCCAGCAGCGGGTGGTGCAGGGAACACTCTCCTGATGCAGCATTTCCCTGCAGATGGCTGCAGGTCCAACAGGAGCTGTGAATCCACTCCCACTAAGAGGCAGCTTGTGTCTCTTCCTCGGGAGGGTCATATGCTTTGCAAAAGCTGCTAACTGGACCCTGAACCTCTTATGGCCTTGTCCAAACCTCTGTAGCTCTGAATGGACCACATCTGTCCCATCAGGCATCCGATCCATATCAGTGGCAAAGCAAAGCCCCTCTGATTCTCTGCAATTCATGAAATGCTGAAAGTGAGGCTAAGTATAACCTGCAAGCCAGCAGCACAGCTTCTTGCACAATGCTAGGAAAAAAAAAAAAAAGAATCACATAAAATGCAAATTCTTAGAACAAACAAGCCACTTTAAATGGAAGCGAATGATGCTAAATTTGGCAGTTTCTTGCTGCTTGCTGAGCCAAACATAACAGGTACACACGCTTCTAGAGAAAGATAGTCTAATCTTAAAGCTGGTGCCAGCATATATAATTTCACACCAAAATGACAACTGGCTCATTGGAAATGCCACCCGCAGCCAAGACTTTCACAAACAGCCTCCTTGTGCCAACCAGCATGCAAAACACCAAAAGCCAGAGCTGGGCAACGCGTGGGCCCTGTGGTTGTCTGCAGGGAAGACAGAGCAAAGCTGCTGCTCTAGGAAGCAGGGACAGGAGCTGTGCTGCAGCCCTCCATGGCATCAGGAAGCGGCATCCTCAGGAAGGAATCTGCAGCAATTACTGCTTTCAGGACTTGTGCACGCAACACCCTTAAAAGTCTATTCTCTTGCTTCAGAGTTTCAGAGATGGGATCTGAAGCATCGGGAAAAGCCATTAAAGCAGTAGGTGATATCCAGGCCTCGCACTTTCCAAAATAAACATATTCCTGAGTTAGTTATTGATTTATATCAGTTTAGGTTGATCTTGTGGTTTGAACCTGATGCCTATTTTAGAAACGCTTTCACAGCCTTGCAGAAATTAGCTGCAGCACGTTTTTTGAAATTTGCCAAGGAAAATAGCAAAATGCTCTGTTTTTCCAGAACCTGAATTATGATCTGCACATACTGAGGTCAAGCAGCAAGAGTTTTGCTTATGGAATGATTCTTATCCCTCTTCCCCTGGGTTATTATACTTGGCAGGAAAACCTCTGAGTAAGATTTTACTTGAATATCTCTACTGAAGTCAGCATGTTTATTCCAGGAATCGCGAACATCAAAGCATCACACAATTACACGTTGCGCAAGGGTTAGGGTTTTGTTCCCCCCCCAGTGATCTGAAGGCAGACGGGCTTAAGAGCCATGAAACAACAGGGAGCTGCCTGGGCAGTGCCAGTGCTGCACTGCAATGATAAGTGATAGTTTGATGGGCTGATGGTTAGACTAGATGATCTTAGGGGTCTTTTCCAACCTTAACCATTCTGTGACACTCAGACGGCGCTGAAGCAATGCTCGTTTATGGCACCATATCTCACGGTTTTCAAAGCCACCCTCATGGGCAGGAGGGCCCAGTTCCCACACAGATGCCAGCAGCTCGATGGTACTACGGCCGCACTGGGGTGCGAGCTGCAGCCTGGTGTGCAGGGCTGGCTTCCTGCACCTTCACTTGACAAAACAGCCCTGACTCCAGTACTGAAATGAATGGCTCTCTAATAATTGCATACATCTGGGTTCTTACTCTTTGCTCAGATGGGATTTGTGTGCAGCCTGCATTACCGCCCTGCGAACGGCTGCGCCTTATTAACCACCCTGCATATTTTCCTCCTACGCGCGATCAAAACAAGATGTCGTGGGCCCCTCAAGGCAGCTCCTTCCTCCATGCTTCCCTCCCCGCAGGCTACTCCATGCTGCAGAGCAAGGAGGTCATCCCAGTGGCCGCCATCAGCCTCCTGCCACCGCTGCTGGTGGCGGTGATGATTACTGTCATCTTCTATCTCTGCCGCACGCAGAAGCAACGCAAGAGGGCCAAGAGCTGGGTTGGGAAGCAGGGCCAGGGTCCGGCACTGCAGGAGCCAGGCAGGGCTGCCGAGCGGGACGAGAAGCTGTCTGTGCTGATGGATGATGGCCCGGCCGCCATGAACCCCACCTGCGCCAACAGCCTCAACCACAACACTGAGCTGCTGCCCATTGAGCTGGACGAGATGGTGGGCAAGGGGCAGTTTGCGGAGGTGTGGAGGGCTAAGCTGAACCACAGCAGCTCAGGGCAGTATGAAACAGTGGCGGTGAAGATCTTTCCCTGTGAGGAGTATTCTTCCTGGAAGAACGAGAGCCAGATCTTCACGGACGCCAGCCTCAAGCATGACAGTGTTCTGCAGTTCCTCACGGCTGAGGACAGGGGCTCCGGGCCACGCAGGGAGTACTGGCTCATCACCGCCTACCACAGCAGGGGCAACCTCAAGGACTATCTCTCCAGACACATCCTGAGTTGGATGGACCTGCAAAAAATGGCAGGGTCACTGGTGAACGGGGTGGCCCACCTCCACAGTGATTACACAGCCTGCGGCCGGCCAAAAATCCCCATTGCTCACCGGGACATCAAAAGCACCAACATCCTGGTGAAGAATGAGCAGGAGTGTGTGATCTGTGACTTCGGCATTGCCATACGCCTCGACCCCTCACTGACGGCAGATGACTTTGCTAACAGCGGGCAGGTGAGTATGAACCTCAGCACCCCTTGGACAGGCATGCATGCCATCAAATGCATGACCCTGGGTGGGAGACGTGGCCTTTACAAATAGGGCTGTCTTCACACCATGCCATCTGGAGCTTAAGACGTCAGCCACGTGCTCCCCAGCCCCTGCTAACCTCTCTTCTTTGCGCACAGGTGGGCACTGCCAGGTACATGGCCCCAGAGGTCTTGGAGTCCAGGGTGAACCTGGAAGATCTGGAGTCTTTCAAGCAGATGGATGTCTATTCCATGGCCCTCGTTCTGTGGGAAATGGCCTCCAGATGTGAAGTGGTGGGAGGTAGGAATGTCACACGCAGGTTTGTCTTGCACCTCTTAGGCTCCTTTCCTCTATGTACAGGGACCTTCATCCACTCACATCCCTGGTGGTGTTGGTGCTCCACCCCAATGCAGGGTTGTTCATCACAGGACCTGGATTCAGGTGGCTGCTGAGAGCCGGTGACAGATCTCACCTAGGGCCTACCTCTGCCCAGCCACCCACCTAGGGGGCTGGAACTATGGTTGAGGAGCAGCAGAGGTGATCACAGGTGATCCCAGCCACAACACTGAAACCATCCAACTCTGAGCACTGGCCACAGAGGTGGGAGCAGACATATTGGGGTTCTTTCCAGTATACACCTTTGGTTCCGGGAAGAGGTCAGGCAGTCCATCAGTCTCATCTCTGAAAATAGCATTTACACAAAAATCTGATGCTACACTTCTGCACTCAAATTCTAAACTATTTCCAGATCTGTTTATTTATGCAGACGCATAAGAACAAATTTCTTCTCACCCAGTAGGCCACGCCAAAGCACTGCAGTGAGAAAATCATCATAATACTGCTTCTTTGCAGAGGTAAAGAATTACGAGCTGCCTTTTGGATCAAAAGTGCAGGAGCAACCTTGTGTGGACACCATGAGAGACATTGTGCTGCATGGCAGAGGGCGGCCTGAGATCCCTAGCAGCTGGTTGGTGCACCAGGTAAGCCAGGAGCAGCTGGCTCAGAGGCAAACCATCCTGTCCTTCTCTACTGACCCATCCTGAAGATTACTATAGCTGCAATCAAATCAGTGTGGCTGGCTGAGCTCAGATAAGCTCCCCTAAATCCACTTCCCCAGTATGGAAAAGCCAACAGCCAGGGATACAGCAGAATTCACAGCTGGTAAATCAATGGTCAAGAGCAGAAGTTATGAATGCCAAGTAATGACATTTGGTTATCTTGTGTATGCTGAAGCACAGCCAAATGGAGCATCCAGACTTCTGCCTACTTTGTCAAGGAGTTTGAAGTTTAGAGGTTATCCTGAATTTCATACATGGAAGAAAGGACTTCCAACTTGTACAAGGAAAGGGGAAGACAGGCAGCACTTTCCTCGAAGTGAAACAGCTTGAAGACACGCATAAAGCTGACAGAAGGGAAAATGCTGGATTAAGTCTTCCCAAGGGAAAGCCTTTCACCATCTTTTAGCTCAGAAGGCCTGAGAGCACAGCATTTTAGTATGGAAAGCATAGCCCAGCATGCTAGAGTAGATGCACTTCAGCAGTAATGAGGTATGCTGTTCTAGAATCATCCACATACACTCCCAGAACAACCAACTACAGAAACATTGCACCCAAATGGCCTTCTCTTCCCCAGTACTTCCATTCATGAATTGAGGACACAAGGGACTGAGCACAGTTTTCAGATCTCACCTGAAGTGGTGCTTCTTAAGTTTCACGTGCCTTGGTGAAAATCACCATACATTGATCACCATTTCAGCTCCCCCCCAGAAAGCTGAAACAGAGTCTTTGGGCTTGCAGAGCCCTGCAGTGCTCTGGCATTGATCATCACAGGTCATTTTGTACCTATCCATAAAACACACTGCTTCCTTCCATCACACAACACACAAACCCAGAATTTTCAAAAAAGAGATAGAGTAAACAGTAACAAATTACTGTGGTTTCTGTTGGCCTATCAACGAGTTTATCAGTGAGCTCATTGAGTTTGCCCTGCCTTCTTCCTTTATGTAGTAAAACACAGAACTTAAATCAGCACAGCTGCATGCTTGAAGCCTTTGAGTATTCATCTCAGATGCTCACCTCCCAGGTCTCTGATAAACTTTGAAACCACAGAAAAAAAGCACAGAGGCTTGGGCTGTCAGAAGTCACTCTCTAATAGAGCCTAACCATACCTGTGCTGTGTGCTGAGCTGAAGTGCTGACTGCAGTTACTGCTGAGAAATAACACTGCTGCCACAGCTGGGCTGGCCTAGCACACAAACAGAGCAAGGTTTATAAAAGCTGCTGCCTTTATAAGACCTGATACTCACTGGGGATGAAGAACAAAAAAAGTCATGTTGCGTTCCTGAAAGTTTGACTAGTATCAGTCAGAAGCAGCTTGCCACAAACCTGGCTTTACATCGTTTCCCCAGGCTGCAGCATAGGGCAGCACCATCTGCTGGGAGGCAGCAGAAGTCTTCCAGGAGCTGCTGTTTGGAGGACGTGCCGGGTGACACCAAGATGAGGGGCCTGAAGGGAAAGCACCAGCAGGTGTTGGTAGCTCTGCTCCCGCTGTGGGGTTGGAACCAGATGATCTGCAAGGTCTCTTCTGACTCAAGCCATTCTGTGATTCTCTGTTCCCATCAAAGCAAACCCAGGGGATGCACAGCTCCAAATGCTACTTCTGCAGTGCTCCCTCTCAGTGAAGTGAGGGCCAAAGCAGCGGGCCCTGGTTTAGGGTTGCCAGCTGACATTGTTGGGGTCACAGCATTAAATCACCTCAGCTGACTCACCCAGAGCATTGCACATCAGTAGCCCCAACACAACAGTCTGCCAACTGCACAACAAAGCCAATTAAGACTTTTATCCCCAAAGCGGCCCAATTAACTCTTAAATGCCCATGCTCCCACCTCATTTTACCCCCTACTATTAAGAAAAGTGGGGTTTTCTCAGTGAAGTAAATTCCTAGAGGTGGTTCTTTACCACTTGTACTGGCAAAACCGAAGGCTGCTGCAGGGCAGGAGCAGCAGGAGCTGAACTCAGCACTGCTGCTAAAAACAACTTGTAGACTGTAACTGGATGCAGCATTGAGCATCCCCTGGAAATCAGGGTTACCAAGCACAAACCCTGCACTAAGCCTGCTTTGCAAGCATAACAAGGAGCACCACACTTACAAGGCGAACTACAAATAAACACGAAGATTGCAGGGTAGAGTAAGCACAGAAAGGTCTAATGACTAAAGAATACAACAACCCTGAGAGAACTTCAGTTAAACAAGCTCATTTTTGGATGCTAGTTAATTAGCCTCAAATCCTTCCAGCTGGGCTAACAGATGAGTGCTGACAGGAGCACTGAAATGCGCCCTCTGTCAGTTCTACTGCACGCTCCCGTTCCCTCTTATCTGTGTCCATTGTGCAAGGCTTTGTCCAACGAGCCTCCGAGCAGTACAGTGAGGTCAGGCGAAGGGGCAGCAAGGCAGGCGACAGCATGGCACATTGCTGTAGGATTCACGCTGTTCTTTCACCTTCATCTTTTCGGGTTCTCAATTGTAAGCTGAAATGCACAAAACCATGGGAAAAAAAACCACAAAGCTTTATTTAGAATAATGATTTTTCCACTGTGTCGCAACTTCTGTTGTCAGTGATGAAAAAAGCACATGATAGGAATTACAGAGTCAAAGGAAGGTTCGATGTAGCTGCTGCTGCTACTGCTAGCTTCAAAGGGGGAAAACATCAGTGCAGCACTTCTGTCCTGAGCCTAAAATACTGGGACTCTATTTGTGTGATTTTCTGAAGAGAGACATTACTGGGGTTTCTAACCATTGTAATCCAGAGGAACTGAGCATTTCGAAGAATGCTGAAGAGCACCCAATCCCACGTGAGCCATGATTTTATGGTGAGAAACTATTCAATGCAGTGCTGAACTACTTGGTGTGGTTTCCCCTATGAGAAAGCTGCTGAAACAAAGCCACGTTAAGAAGTTTAATTCCAGACTTACCATCAAGGTGCCCCTACCCAACCCTCTATGTGTGGGGGGACATCCAGAGCTGGGCTCAGCTCCCAGTGCTGTGGGTGACCACCTGCACCTCCCCTTTCCTCCTGAATTCAGGGTGCTCCATCTCAATGGCCAAGGCTGAGGAGATGGGGACGCGTTAGGGCCCTATCTCGACACACAAACATCACCACGTACCATAACTTACCTACTGCATTTCTGCAGGAAGCTGCCCAAAGCCCAGCAAAGCATAAAAGCTTTAGATCAGCTTCTCGCTCCTCTTTTCCCTTCCTTCAGCTCCTAACACCAACCCTTCTGACCGCAGGGGATGCGCTTCCTGTGTGACACCATCACGGAGTGCTGGGACCACGACCCTGAGGCTCGCCTCACCGCACACTGCGTGGCCGAGCGCTTCAACCTGATGGCGCAGATGGATTGCGACGACATCCTCAACAACAACACGGACAACGAGGTCGGCAAAACAGCCTCTGCGGGAGGGGAGCAGCAGGGCAATGATGGGAGCAGGAGCATGCCGTGATGCAGCAGCAGGGAGCCTCAGCATGAGAGTCCCAGGAAAGGAACTACAATATAGTGCATAACTTATTTATTACATCTGTTTCCTCCCAGTGATGGGCTGAACTGTGGAATCAATACTTTTTTTTTTTTTTTTTTTAAGTGCAACACTATATATGAACTGATTTTGTACTTACTTTAAGTGTATAATGGTGCAAAGCATTTCTTCTATTATTTTTTAAAACAATAACATTTAACCTTTTATTAATAAGTATGTGAACTCCATGCCCATCTTCAGAAGTTCTTCCAGGCTGTCACCAGGAGTTTCTCTTCTAACTGCTCACTCTGCACAGCTCACACACTTTTTGAATGGTGCACACACACACACACACACACACACACACACACACACACACACACACAAACACACCCCAAAAAGAAACCCCGAAAAAGATGAGATAGCAGCCTGAGATGTTACAGGTTGCAGTGGAACAAAGAGCATGGAAGTTACTCAGGTGAAATTCTTTCAACAGTAAAAAAAAAAAAAAAAACAAAAAACCAACAAACACAAATAAAACCAAGTGACCAATACAGGCACTGCTGATCCTGAGACCTCCTGCTGCTCTAAGAGATCTCAGTGTTGGTAAACTCCCTACCAGCACACCTCCCACACCCCTGCCACCAGTCTGGTCCCCAGCCACCCCCAACCAGATCTTACCACACTAACACTGCCAACACAAACACGTTGGCCAATTCTTCCTGCGGTTACTTCCCCTCCTCCACAGCATTACTCAACTTGAAGAAACATGATCAGACAGAGCAAGGACCTTTACTCCCCATAACTCCCAGACCGAGCCAGGCAACCTCTGCAGTAGAAAGGCAATTAACTGAATGAGAAAGGTAAGTCACACCACATCGAACCACAGCGTTGTGCAAATCTTAATCCTTTCACTCTTGTAAGCAAAAGGTAATAAAACCTCTTCCTGCTACCAAGAAGTCCTGCAAGCCCACACCTGATGTGCACCTACACAGAGGTTCTTTCAGGATAGTGTGAAAGAGGAATGCTTTGCTTGCCAGCACAGCATGCCTGGCTGCTCCTTCCTGTCACCTAACAGCGCTCAAGTGAGCCCCTTCCCTCAAAGCACACCTCCAGTTTGCCATAACAATACTCTTCCACACACACTAAACGTCAGTCTCATTTAACACATTAATGACTGTTCTCTGTAAGCCCAGAAGGAACAGGAGGCACTAGGCAGCTTTCATCACACCAAACTCCCTCTAAGTTGTCAAACCCTTCTTTCATTTAGCATTCAGTGCAAAGTTTCCTCACTATACTTTCATCAAGTTTGATCATAGCAACGATCATAACAAGTTTGATCATAGCAACGATGTATATATTTACTACTTCTTCCCAATTCAGTTTGAGAGGTGTATAAGTCTCTGTCTGGCCTTCCAGAGGTGATAGGGACACAGAGTGGAATCAACCTGTGCAAACTGGAAGTTGAAGGCTGCTCATGTGCTTTTGAAGGCTGAAAGGGAAATCCTCCTAGAGAAGCAGGCCTTCCTCTAGACTTGACAGTTTCCACTGCAGATATTCTTCTCAAAAGAATGCTTTCAGGCAGAGAGAGGGGAACAGACTGAGAAGCTTTTCTGAAAATGAACTCCGGACTCCAATTTATGTATTCATCTTTTCCTCCATGCAAACCTACTCATCAGTCACACATTCAGGATCATACTGTTGAATGCACACATTAAATAGAAGTGACACATCATGCTCTGTTTTCCATGAGCAGCAGGGAACCAAGCACCCCCCAAAGAGGGCTCTAACATGTGCTTACGTCTTAGAGAGCCCTAAAATTACCAAGGATGAGCAAGAACTTTGCTCAACTTCACTGGAGCTGAATCAAGCCATAAAGCAAGGAACACAAGGCTAAATCCTATGTTTTGCCATGCTCCTCATTTAACTCACTGTGGTTCTATGAAGTATCTACACAGGAAGCAGCAGTGATCTCTTTTCCCTCCACTCCAGAAGGTACAAGATGGAAACAGCAGAAGTTATGCAAGAGAATCAAATCTGGTCAGTGTTAAAAATACACATTAGTCTGCTGAGTACTTGCAGCTCTTAGGAAGAAAAAAAAAAAAACACAAATGTCAAAGTTTGAGTTGGATATTCAGAGGCTAGAATTAAGCTATTTTTCAATTCCATCCTTTGTTTCCAGAATAAACTAGAAAATTGCATCACTATTAAATCCACATCACAAAGTCACTCCAGTTCTTATGATCATCTGAGCAAAGGAAGACTTGATTTTCCTAGCAGCATCCCCACGTTAAAAAGAATCGTCTCGTATTTTAAGACTACTTCAGGGTTGGTCTATTTTTACATGACAAAATTAGTAACAGCTTTCTCAGCATGAAACCGCAGGCACACCAGATGAGGGTGGAAGAGAAATAACTTGGCTGATGTTATACAAAGAACACAAATTGGTTTAGGGTGAACACAGGAGCTTTTCAGCCATCACTTTGACAAACTCCCAAGTCAAAGTTTCAAGCAGAGCTCAGCAGCTGAGTCATAGGTCTGTACTCTAATAGAGACAAGTTTATCAGCTGAGCGTAATCCAGGGAAGTAAGTGTAGTTAATGCAGCAGTGATCACAGCAGGAACCAGCTGGACCTGGCACCCCCCTTGCTGTTTATTTAAGGGGTATCTGCTATATGACAGAGAACTCAACCAGGAAACACAGAGTGTTGTCTATTTATTTTCTTTCCCTCTACCAGCCCCAGCTTGGTGCAGGTACCAAAGAACTCCAGAGCTGAGGAAGCTAACACACTGCCACCGTGACTCCTACCACAAATGCTCCAACTGCCCGAGGAGCACAGCCCAGATGGGCTGCAGACCCAGAGACAAGAAAAAGCTACACCCACTGCTTTCATACATATTTTTATTCCTGGTTGAACATGAAAATGCCCAGTAGGTATCCAAAAATGAAGACAGGGTAATTGTATAGAATATCACAAACAAGACAGCAGGGTCCAAAACACATTCTTCTGCTGGAGAATACAGTTACTACTGAAGTGCACAGTGCCAAAATATCCTGTTATAACAGCCAGAGAAAGCCCAGACAGACAGATCTCCAGTATAAAAGACAACAATCTACTCTTCCTGGCCACCTGACCTCTAGGTAAAGCAAACAGAACAAACAATCATTTTGTAGTTTTATTATCCCCACCCCCAATTCTCACAAAGGGCCTATGACTCGCATTGAGATCTCAGTGCATTTCACAGCAAAAAAAAAAGAACAAGAAAAATCGAGACAGTTGTGCATAAATCCAACTTTTTTTGCACAATTTGCAGTTTGTGTTGAAAGTTGACATGATGATTTAAACCTTCTGATGCACTCTTACATTTGTATGTTCTCCACAGAAAACATCTTACCAGATCACAAAGCTGTGAGTTCCCATGAGGATGGATCAGGTGCAGCCATTGCCATGGCTGGGAGGTGGCAGATAATGTTATATACACTGACTGGAAGACTACATCAGAAGAAAAAACAGAGTAAGGCACCACTGTTGGAAAAAATTAAGGTAGCTTGTAGTTACAACAATAACGAAAGCCATAATAAGTACTAATCTTAATTGCCAGCAATTCTTTAACTTCAATAAAATAGGTATAAAAAACAAAGGATGTTTGTACCTGAATACAGTTTCCTGATACCAGATTGTGTTTCAAATCAATACCCAGACTTCAGCATTATCAGCTTTTTTTTTTTTTTTTTTTTTTAAATAATATCTAAGATGAAAAACCAAAACCTACAGTCCATGTATTCACAGGTCACATTTCACTGCTTTGTTCTGATTAACACCACAGGAGAAAAACCAAAACAATCCAAAGGACAGTTTGTAACACTGATACTTCACCTCTGCGATGATCAGATGGGTAGAGAAGTTTAAATACAAAATTGTGTATTTTCTGTTCTGTTTGAAAGCCTCAGTCCTTGGAAGGGAAGGTGGAAGAGAAGAGGCCAAACCTCATTACATTACAACAGGAGAAAAAAAAAGGTTACTCAAATATTTAATAAAATTAGGAGTTGAAAAGTGTTCAAATTACTTTTTCAATTCAAGTCAAATATTTCAAGTATATTAAAATGTTTCAGAGGAAAAATTTCTCCATGGTTACGATTCTAATTGCTTTTATAAATCCATAAAAAAGAAAGGTAGTCTCTACAGATATTCCATATTCCTCCGATGCATGCACGTTTTCTCTCTGAAGAAAGAAGTTCCCACGATCCAGTTGATTCTTAACACTGATTTCAGGCACATCTTCCAAGCACCTCTCCAGTTTGTTTTTGCCAACGAAGGTCTAATGTTGGGCATAAAAGCAGCAATTTTTGGTTGCTGTTTTCTACATGGGTACCGAGCATACTTCAGTCATTAAATAGTTTGATGTAGAAAGAAGTTCCCATGTCACTCTGAACACCAAACAGTTTCTCTTTCTCTTAGGCAGCTTTTGCAATCAGACAGACCTACTTAGAAGACTCTTACACAAGTCAGATAAAATCTTCAGGATCATACAAAAAAAAAAAAACAAGTTGGTTGAATGTGTACCTGGCAAGTTTGTCTCTACAACCTTGTTCTGAATAGCTTTAAAGTGCCCTAGTGTATTTCCTTATGCTCATTCAAGCTTTCGCTATTATATAAAAAGGGGACACTCAGTGTGATAACTGCATTTTGAGAGACAGAAAAAGAATATCAGAAACGGGAAACTCATCTTTAAGCAGCTTTTCTAGTTAGCGTCCGTTTGCTGAGTTTGCACAGCAGAGACTGCTCTCCAAAGGGGTTTATGATAAACCCAGCCATCTCCCTGCAATTTAAAGAGAAAATACAGTTATAACAGACACTGCCTCAGCTGAAGTCTCTTTGCACAACTACTACACCAGTAGCTGTGAAAAACCAAAGGGACGCCGCTTATACTTTTCAGTCACACAGATTAAGACAGAGATCAACACTGCGGGCCACTGAGCCTACCTGAGAGCATGCATGATTCCAGCTGAGCCACAGCTGAGCTCTGGGAACTGACTGTACTTGCAATTAACCCACACAGAAAAATCACTCTTCTCAACTCCATGATCCAGATTTCATTAAAAGGCCAAACCAAGACACCAGCAAAGGGACAACCAACCAACCATTACCAGCTCTAACACAGTCTGACCATGTTCCTGGAAATTACATAGTTCTGCTTTTCATTTAAAAATCTTATGGGTACAATACCATC